GGTAATAAAGAGAGAGAGAGAGAGAGAGAGAGAGAAGCAGGGAGGGAAGGAGACAGACAGAGATAAAGAAGAGGAAGGGGGAGGGGGTAAATTATCAGGATTTGTAAGGGTAACAGAGTGGAGGCAAGGAATGAGCAGAAGATAAGAGGAACAGATACCTATTTGATAGGGGGTCATACAATATTTATGGTTGTTATAGTGATGAATGTGTATCTGTGGTTTGGTGTTAGTTTGCTGCGTGTTGATGCTAGTGGTGTAAAGAAAAATGGGTGTCAGTTTAGTTGAAGGTTGACTGTGGTGTTTCTGGTTTAGTTGATGGTCTACCGCCAAATTGATCTGACAGCTGGTTTAGTGGAAGGTCTACCCCTAGGTTTCTGAGTGCACAAGGACATATACATATAAATAAGGCTTGAGTCTTAGCGCCGTATCTCATGCCTGCTTGAAACATTAGTTTGGGCAGTTAGTACATGCAGGTGGACTGCTCGTTGTAAGACTGTCATATTGTCGGTGCATTTCGCTATCCGTGTATGGAGCATTCGGATATTTCAAGAAAATGAGCAAAAACTTCTTTTTTAGTCTAATACGCATTTCAGCCTTTTGATTTTTTTAGAATTTATATTTAAGTTGTCTTGAAATATTGATGCAAATTGAATTGTGAGAGCTGATTTTGATGATTGTGCTTAAGTCAAATGCCTTAAGGTCGGAGGTTTGAAATTTTGTTCCGTACGCGGGGATAGCGAACTGCAATGACGATTTGTCACTTTTCAAAATGGTGTATGGCAGACTCTTACACTAAGCAGTCAGAGTGGACTGGGCGTAGCCTTCGTTATCTTGCAGCCTGTGTCTATGTCATTCAGACACATAATCAGGAATATTTATGTAATGCCCGTCGACAAGGTCATATTTGTATAAGTCGGTCAAACTAGAACACTAAGTTAAGACTGTCAGATGGCTGGTTCTATTGACCCATTTGTGATGACATGACCAAATGAGTTAACTAAACTTCTCACAATCTGCGGATGGAGATATCGGCTGCAAAATCAACATATGAGTCTGTCTGTCTGTCTGTCTGTCTGTCTGTCTGTCTGTCTGTCTGTCTGTCTGTCTGTCTGTCTCTCTCTCTCTCTCTCTCAC